TGGTCTCACTCTTTCCAAATTTTCATTTGCAGATGTCAAAGGTTACCATAGTAGACCATCATTCAGCCACCGAGTCCTTCATGAAGCACATGGAAAATGAGTACAGAGTGAGGGGAGGCTGCCCGGGTGATTGGGTTTGGATAGTGCCGCCCATGTCAAGCAGCATTACACCTGTTTTCCATCAAGAAATGCTCAACTATCGCCTCACACCTTCTTTTGAGTACCAGGTATGTCTTTTGTCCAGTTTGCATTGAAGTAATATCACAACTTTGATTTTCACTTATGAGTACAATCATATACAGTATATGCATTTTTGTGCCTAATTTACCATCCAGGTTTCTGAGGTAGTTAAGCTTTCTGTTAATTTGGAAATAGCTAAAACCTCTTTTTGCAGACTTGTAATGGTGATGTGACCCCAAAATTATTTTAATTCTTAAGCCAGACTTAAAATGCATGGATGTAATTGCGTTAGGTAAGGTAAACAAGGTGGCATCTATTATGAAAAAAGAAGCACAAAGACATTTCAAGCAAATCGTTTCGCAAAAATAAATTTATTTGGTTTTAAATGATAAAACAGTAAATATACCATTCAAAATGTTGAATATTCAATATACAATAAAGGGTCTCACTTTATATTAAGTGGCCTTAACTACTATGTACTTACATTTAAATTAATCATTTGGTACAATGCACTCATTGTGTACATACATGTTTTTACATTGTACTTATATTTAAAAAAAAATACCTGCATGTAATTACATCTGTAATTAATTTCTGTAATTGCATTTATAATTACACTGTTGACCCATCCCTTACACCTTAACCCACCCTTAAACCTACCCAGACCACCAAACCTGTCTCTAACCTTACCCATATCTCACATCAATAGCAGCAAAAGTGTTTTGCAATACAATATGAACACAATAAGTACATTGTACTTATTTTTTGATGTAGGTACATAGTAGTTAAGGCCACTTATTATAAAGTGGAACCCAATAAAGTAAGTATACATTTCCGGGTTTAAGGACTCTTTGCAGAACTCTATTACAACTTGATCACAATCAGCCTGTAGTTCTCATAATTAAAATATGCTCTGCTACATTCTCTCGCTCTCTTTCTTTCACTGTCCAGCCTGACCCGTGGAACACTCACGTGTGGAAAGGAGTGAATGGGACGCCCACAAAGAAAAGAACGATTGGATTCAAGAAACTTGCCAAGTGAGTGGGTGAAGAGCTCGAGACCTTTAGCTGTTTGTTTTTGTCTCAAGCACAAAGTGTACATTGAGTTTAACCTGTATGGCGCTTACGAAGGCCGGCTGTCTGCAGCGCTCCGCATCTTTGCCAGCCTTTTGTTGTTATTATAACCCATAGTCCAGGAACTTCAGCAGGCGGTTGTGTTAATGGCTGTTTAAGAGTGCTCTCCACCATATTTTCCTCGTTATTATGCTGAGAATAGCGTGAGTCTAACTCACTGAATCACACTCAGGTGTAATCAGGTTTCTTCAGTGTCCCTTCAGCATTCAGCCTCTGAGCTATTACAGTAATTGCCCACAGGATATACTCTAAGTAGCTATATTTATGTGACTGTGGTCTCGAAAATGAGGGGAAAGTGTCTGTTAGTGTGTTAAACTCTCGTTGAGAGGTGGTAGAAGAGATCATTTTTAGGAACGCAGATGCACGTTGTCATAATTGATGAGATTTTAAGTCAAGTCAAGTTGCCTTTATTCATATAGCTCGTTGTACAATACTGATTGTTTCAAAGCAGCTTCACAGTAATAAACAAGAAAATAACCGAATCAATTATACATAGTCCTTACACAGTCTTACTTAAACAGCCTCAAATTTAAGGTCATAAAAAGACTTAAATACCTGCAGATTGCAGATTTGATCTCCTTTGACAATTTAAATGAGGAGCTTGAATCGAGTGCATTTCAAAATAAGAGTCCTGTGTATTCCAGGCTTGTTTACAATTAAACATCCTGCATTATTATGCATATTTTTCCCTTGTTGTTATGGGAATTTCAAATACGCAATAAATTGTATCTACATTTATTTTAACGTAAATTCATTTGATTTTTCTCTGGGCTGCCATCACAGGAAGGCAATTTTTCTAGAATCGGCACAATAATCTGTAATCTGTCTTTCTACACAATATTATTATGTCAGCAAAATCTAATATTGCTTGGCTTCTAATTCATATGTATTGATATGTTAGTACATAAACCAATTTTAGTACATATGTGTATATTTTAAACTTGCAGTTTCCCCGTTTTTCAGTTGAATGTGTGCCTGTTTCATAAAGTATAATATTCTAAGATGCATGATTTATTTTGAGATTGTATCATTTTGTTCTGAATGGACATTAATTTTATTTGTGCAGATCTTAAAAGAGGTCTTAAAAAGCCTTAAATTTGATTTTAAAAACCCTATTGTGTCATTATTCAGCTCAAGTCAGTTCACTGTTGATTCAGTTCAGTTCAATAACTGTTTAAAGTTCACTGATTTAGTGCAACAATTCATCTTTGTTGACATATCCATGTCTGACATGTTTGTGTGCCACTTGCAGGGCTGTGAAATTCTCCGCCAAACTCATGGGACAGGCCATGGCCAAGAGGGTCAAAGCCACCATCTTGTTCGCCACAGAAACTGGGAAATCGCAGGACTATGCAAAAACTCTCTGTGAGATTTTCAAGCATGCGTTTGATGCCAAGGTAAGAACGACAGGCTTACTGAACCGCGCATAATAGATTGACATCTGTGTGTGATTCTTAAAACCTTTCCCATCTCCCATTAATCTCGAATTAATGCCTCCTGTGGATTTGCACGTAAACATTGATGTAAACAAAATGACAAAGAATACTGATATGAGACACATGTATCCCCTTGGTTTCACAACCAAAATCTCTCTCTCAATTCAATGATACAGATTGCAGAGTGAGAAAGCTATTTTCACACCAAAGCGTGCTTTGGCACCATTTCTTTTCCTGCAATACCATCGAGTGCCAAAAATCGACTCACCCAGGCATTGAGCTGTAGGTTAAGATAAGATCCCATTACACTGAAAGCTATGTGCGGTATAAAACAAGAGTATTGAGTGGATCACGTATTTAGCCTTGGGATAGCAGTTAAATGTAGTTATTTTTAGAATCTAGCAGATTAATCAATCTTGTTCATATGCGCTTGTTATTACGTGATTTACATGCAGATGGCGCAGATATACTGCTTCTCTCTCCTCATGCCCTGAAGGCATTTGCTCTGTCACATGCACTGATGCATCTTTTCTGTTAATTGTATCATGGCGCATTAGCTGCTTGTTAGGCGCCGTACGAACTGTTCATTACCTCTACACCCCTTTTGGCGGTACGTCAGGATCAAGAGATAACGTGCCTCCCATTCTTGATGCACATTGTATGGTTTTCACACTCGAACACGTTGCCTAAAATCTCTCCAAACACTGATCTAATATCCAAACTTTTGCTCCGGGGCTACAAATGACGGAAAAACCAATCACATCAAAATGGTCATGTCTAGTGGATGAAGCGTTATTTATGTTTTCACAAACAGTACAAATAACTAGATTACATGCTTGCTGGTGCAAAAGTGGCCACTGTGATCCTTGGGTGTTTTAGGTGGTTGCTTACTGGCCCAAGTCATGAAAGTCCCTCCAACAAGTGCTATATTCTGAGTTATAGACAAAGCTTGGGTCCCTACTTCAGTTGAAATCAGTTTAGTTGTCATAGCTCAAACATATGAGTGTAGTGTAATACTTAGAGTTTGGGATTTGAAAGTGTAAATGAAAGCCTTAGCCTTAACTAGTGCTCCGATAAAACTTTAGAATAGGGAAAACATAAGAAATAAATGAATAAAAGTAATGTGCCGTGGCATTAGCAGACATGTTACTGTTGTGGGAAAATGTCTAAAGTAAAAAGTGGCATAAAACAAAAATAATAGTTAATGCAGTTTTTTAGATGGGTAGTCTTTGTGTAATATATTTTTTGGAAAGTATACTTTTTGGACTTTAAAATGATCAAAAGATACAGTAAAAAAAATGTATAATGTTACAAAAGATTACTGTTTCAAATAAATACTGTTCTTTTAAACTTTCTATTCATCAAAGAATCCTGGAAGAAAATGCACCAGTTTCCACAAAAACAGCACAACTGTTTTCATCTTTGATAATAATAAGAAATGTTTCTTGAGCAGCAAATCAGCATGTTAGAATGATTTCTGAAGGATCATGTGACACTGAAGACTGGAGTAATTTTTTGCATCACAGGAATACATTTTAAAATATATTCAAATAGAAAACAGTTTTTGTGAATTGTTATAATATTTTGCAATATTACTGTTTTATTGTATTTTGATCAAATAAATGCAGCCTCGATGGACTACTTTCAAAAGCCTTGAAAAACGTTTACCAACCCCAATCGTTTGATCATATTTTCACTGTCAGTTGGAAACCAAACCCGCTACTCTTCAGGAAACGAGAAAAACCCTGTCGTTTTTGAATAATTAAACACAGCACTGTCAAAGTTGGTATTATGGTCTTACATATGGTCAGACACTTGCATGTGTCTTTATATTATTAGCTTTTTACTAAAGTTGAAATAGAGTTAAAAGGTTTTTAACCAGCGAGTTTCGGAGGTATGTGTTTTGTACGTCATTAGAACGGCCACATCCAAGACCGTGAGTGCACTGAATTATGTTTTCATCAGCTTACAAGTTCTATTGTAGTTATGTGGGCAATCAATTTTTCCTGTTGTTGGATACATTTGGCCAAAATCTCATGTGATAAAAGATGAAGTAGTATGCAAAGGCTATAAGACGTGAGTAAACGGCAAATGCTAGACTAAGACAATCTTCTACGCTCCTCAAATACATAAAACATTAACCTTTATAGACATATTTTTTAATAAATAAAACTCTATACTAATTCAAACAACCAGTTATTTAGTTACCCTTGCATCACAAGCAAGAAGAGACCATTTCCCCAAAATTCTCATTCTGTGAAGTGGAATTTTATTTATTTATTTTTTAATAATGGTCCAGTCACATTCCTTGACTCGCCCCACTTTTATGTCTATAATTAAAAGTGGCATAAACCACAATAATAGAACTAATGCAACTATTTAGATGGATGATGTTGGGATTGGGACTGAGGTTATAATATCATGGACCTATAGCAGCACAAGTGAGTTGTGTGATATGTACAATGCTATATTATTTGATCCTGCAGGTGATGTCCATGGACGAATATGACACAGTCGACTTGGAACACGAGACCCTTGTATTAGTGGTGACAAGTACGTTCGGCAATGGGGACCCTCCTGAAAATGGAGAGGTGAGTTATTAAAATAGAAGTTTGCTCTAACGCGCTAGTGTTTCGATGAGCACATCAATCATTTTGTTTTGCTTTGAATCAAACTGTCAACACTTCACAACACAACAGAATGTTCTCATCATGATGATAAAAGACTTCACACACATACTGTACGTTGGAGAACCTGCATTATGCTGGCAGGTCCTGGTTGAATTTGTGATTGAGAACATGCGTGGGAAGGGCCAGTAACTTCTCTCCTGTTTTTCTTTCTCCCCTTTTCCATGCTGCAGAAATTTGGTGCGGCACTGATGGAGATGAGACATCCCACCACCAGCGTAGAGGACAGAAAGTGAGTGTGTGCGCGAGTGGAGACGCAAGCGAGTGATTTTCTTCTTGTCCTCCCACCCATCTGCTTTTCCATAATTAATTTTTTTCAGTGTTTCAGTTCACACACCTACACAGAGTCTAACATATATGCAACAGGCACACACATTAACACACAACATGCATTTCTTCTTACTTCTATATACTGGAACCATTCACATACACACACACAAAGAAACCTCTCTCTCTTTCTGTCTCTCAGGACGTACAAGGTGCGTTTTAACAGCGTCTCTTCATATTCTGATACCCGCAAATCCTCCAGTGACGAACCTGAATCCAAAGCCAACTTTGAGAGCACTGGACCACTTGCTAACGTGAGGTACTGTACTGCCTGTATTTGGAAAAATATGAAACTTTTTAAAAACATGTCTGGGATATTCCACCTAAAAATTAAAACAAAGAAAAAAAATGTGTTTCATAATCAATAAATTATGCCACAATGCAAAAAAAGTTTTTGCATTAAAAAAGCACAATTAAGCACATTAGCTCCCAGATATATATATATATATATATATATATATATATATTTGTATTGTACTGGCTTTAATAACTGATTTCAATGACAGATAAACAAATAAATTACATTATAGTAATTCAGGCAAAATGTTTTTGCATTGCAAAAATTCTTAATGGTCCTAAAACAGACCTAAATTTCATCAAATTAATTTTCTTTATGGAAAGTATATTTACTTGTTTTCTACATTTTTTCATTTTTTTGATTTTGTGGTGACTTGAACTTGTTTTTATAATTATCTCCTGTAATTTTCTTCTCTTTGGTTTCTTCCAGTGTCTATGTGGTCCCTCTGGCTTAAATTTAATCGCAATGAAAAATTATTTTTTTTGGGGCCAATTTTATTATTTTTTTGGAAGGATGTTCGATAAATTGTACCACAATGCAAAAACTTTTTTAATGCAAAAAAGCTTAAAATGGCTTTAATTGATACGTGATCAATACAAATTATTATGGTAATTTAGCACTATAAAAAAATTCCACCTATTTCAACTTAAAAACATAAGTCCAGCTGCTGCCTTAAAATTTTAAGTATAATAACTTTTAAATTAAATTATGTAGCGAATCAGCTCATGGGGAAATATGAATAATTAATCAGGTGCCTCCAGGAGTGGTTGTGGTGCCGTGGTGGATGCTGTCAGGTGGTGTGCTGTGGTGATGTAGGCTGTAGCAAGGTGCGGGTCCTCGAGCTTATTGGTCCAGACGCTACATTACATTAAATCGGCTTAAAAATTAGTTACATTTTGATGAGTTAAAGTTATGTAAAACCTAAACTGCCATAAACTGCCTCGTTTTTTTTTTTTTTCCTTTTGATTTTGTGGTGACTTGGACTTGTTTTTATGATATTCTCCTATGTCTTTATGTATGTATTTGGTTTCTTCCGGTATCTCTGGTTTAAATTGAAGTTCATCAACTACTTCAGAACTAAATATACAAAGAGCAGAAGAACAGAGAACAACCATCTAAAAGAAGTTTAGTTTGAAAAGAAATTCCATCCTAGAGCAATCAAAAGACATTTCACACTTTTTGCAAATCAGCTTTGACTTGTGAGCTTTGCACGTATGTATGCGCATTCTTGCGTAACCTCCTCTCTGGCCTTGAATTTGACCCTTTTTTAGTTTTCATAGTTTCAGGATCAAAGATCACAGCCTCTGGCCTGATGTCCACAACCACCACTCTCTTATAATACGCTTCATTTTGTATATACAGTACATCTATTTGTTTGTGTTCATGTGCTTCAAGTGTTTTCAACACTGTTTCTCCCATGCAGATTCTCTGTGTTTGGCCTTGGCTCTCGGGCATACCCACACTTCTGTGCGTTTGCCAACGCAGTGGACACGCTGTTCGAAGAGCTCGGTGGGGAGCGAATCCTGCGCATGGGAGAGGGAGATGAACTCTGCGGCCAAGAGGAATCCTTCAGAACATGGGCCAAGAAGGTCTTCAAGGTACTGCCATAAGCGAGCAGTGGGCTACAATCACTAGTTTGCATGTTTTATTATTTATTTTTTTCCATTGCTATTGACAAAAAAAAAAAAAAAAAAGAAGTACACCGTAGAAACTTGTTGTAAATTATTAAACATCAAAATTAAGATGATTTTGGCTGTCAAGTTTAAATTTGCAATAAATACTTACATTTTGTGTTGTTCTTTACACGAAGTTACATGACATCAGAAGATTTGTAGTATTAGGTCAGTTCTTTTAAATTGTCATTGTGCAGAGTACAAGAACATACTGCACAGATAGTAAAAGACTACTGTTACAATACTTTTTTGGTCTTTTTGGTGCTTGATAATCACTGATTCTATATTTTAAAAAAAATTTGTTTTTTTGTTCAGCATATGTTTTTGTAACAAAATGCGTAAATAACGACAAAATTACATTTTTTGGGTCAACTATTATATTAAAAAGCCATTTAGTTGGTGTAGTCAGGTTGATTCAGAGGTACTGTATTAATACTATTTTTTACCTAAATAAAAACAGTTAATTTAGATTATATTATTTTTTTAATTAGAATTGTTTTAATGTAGACATTTTAAGGCTAAAAATATTTGCAGTGTGTATTTCTTGTACTGCACTTATACTTTTTTTTATTATTATTTTAATTTAGACATTTTTAAGACTAAAAACCTTTACAGTGAATATTCCTAGTACTGCACGTGTAATATTTATTTATTTATTATTTAAACATTTAAATCCTAAAAATATTTACAATGTCTATTTATTCTACTGCATTTATACTTTGTAATTTTTTTATTTAATTTAGACATTTTTAAGCCTAAAAAATATTTACAGTGAATGTTTCTTGGACAGCACTTATACTTATGATTTAGCATTATAAAACGTTGTCAAGAATTAATTTTGATCCTTTTTATCCCAGGCTGCATGTGACGTTTTCTGTGTCGGCGACGATGTTAATATTGAGAAAGCAAACGATTCCTTGATTAGCAACGATCGTAGCTGGAAGAAAAGCAAGTTCCGGATGACATACACAGCGGAGGCACCGACACTAACACAAGGTACATTGCTGCTCTAGTACCTTCCATTCATCAAGGAATGACTCATCATTTCAGAAAACAAATAAGCTTTTATCAAATGTAATGATACTTAAAGTCTACCCTTGTGAATGGCGAAGCTTTTTTATCGCCTCAAAAATTTATGACGCATGCCAATTGAGTCTTGAAGGGCCTGCCATTTTAGTGGCTCATTAGCTTGACATGCATTGTCTCAGCGCCGTGTTAGCATTACCCAGAGGATTGTAAACACTTCCTTATTCAATTGATGAAAGTGTAAACAATGCATTTAGGGCTTCCAAGCCTGATTTCCAATGTCACAGAGTTTTTACCATTGCATCTAAAGTTCTCAAAATGATCTTGAAATGGGCGGCTCAGCGCCATCATTAGTTTTAAAGCAAATTAAGTTGTAGGGCCGCAAAATTCCATTTTGATTTTTTATATGGTCTAATTTCACACAGCACGTCTTTAACTGTTGATTGGTTTTTGTGTCCACCCTCAGCACTTTACAGCATCCATAAGAAGAAAGTTTACGGGGCCAAATTTCTGATGAGACAGAACCTACAAAGTGGCAGATCGATGTATGTTTTTGCTAATATTCTGTCTGATTCTTATGAAAGTCTTTGACATTAGAATTACACAGAGTTCTGCTTTAAAAACCTTTGTGACCAATTCACCTTAGCAATCTGATATCATTTTCTAATGTTTGCCTATAGAGGATTGGTGTGTTTGGATGGTTCTAAACTAAATTTGACAGAAAAAAAAACAAACAAAAACAAA